CTTAACTCAAAAATGTCACAATATTAATGCCATATATAATCCAAAATGAAATTTAAAAAACCCCTCTATTATCTATTATTCATTTTACAAAAATTGAAAAGGCCTGGGAAAAAATGGTTCCTCTATGTGCTATAGACATTTTACAACTTACATATTTAACTAGTTTTTTTGCTTTATTTACCTTTTTATTCTATGCAAACACAGACAGCCCAGTTTAGCCAATAAGACCCTGAATTTCTGTCACATGACTGCTGGTTGCAGCTGAAACATCAATGACTGGATGGTGGCACCAAGGCGCTCACAATTTGTTTTTTTTGACAAAATCCTGTTAGTTAACAGGACTGCAGGTGTCTCGGTGGTTAGCACTGTTAGCACCTCACAGCTAGAAGGTCGGTGGTTCGCGTCCCGGTGAGGACACCCGGGATCTTCCTGCGTGGAGTCTCCATGTTCTCCCCGTGCAGCGTGGGTTCTCTCCGGGTTCTCCGGCTTCCTTCCACAGTCCAGAAACATGCTGAGGTTAATTGGTGATTGTAAATTGTCCGTAGGTGTGAATGTGAGTGTGCTTGGTTGTCTGTCTCTAAGTGTAGCCCTGTGATAGACTGGTTACCTGTCCAGGTGAACCTGCCTTCACCCTGAGTCAGCTGGGATAGACTCCGCCCCCCCATGACCCTAGTGAGGATGAAGGTGTAGATGATGGATGGATGTTAGATAAAAGGTTTATGCAGTGATTCTGATGAACTATCACAATTTTTAAACATAGATTTGGTTTCACGTTAAGTTAAATCTTTCTTCCAGCTTCTGACGGTATGAACGGTGTCATGTTGGCACCTCCTCATCTGTGGTTTGTCTCACTGAAGCTGGCTGAAGGTCTGCAGGCCTGAGCCCCACCTGAGCACCATCACCTGTACGTCAGCAGGCCTGATCTGCACCACCACCACTTAAAACACAGAATATGTAAACGCTCTGCAGCCATGACAGCACTAATGGTTATGAGTCTTCAAAGGGACTCAGCTAATAGGTTTAGCTCCATTACCGTTATGGATTTCTTATGAGGGACCACTTGAGTTCTATCATGATGTATTGCAGACCATTGTGCCGTTTTTTTTTTTTCCCGCTCTGTGTGTACAGTAAAGCCGTGCACTCATTGCTGTACTGTTGGATTAATACGGGGCATACGGCGCACATCGCTTTGGATGGCTCTTTATCTCGGGCACATCAGGGTGAATAATGTGTGTACGCGGGGCTGTGGGGGGGGTGGTGGTGTCATAGGATAGGAGTGGTGCTGGTGGTGGTGCTGGTGGTGGTGGTGGGGGGAGTTGAGGGATGATTTCACACAGAGATGCTCCATAAATCCCACTCATAATTGTTTCCCTACTTGGTGTGCAGTCTTGCTCCATAAAGGGGCAAAGCCAAGGGTGCTCTAAATGTCAGGGGAGCGGCGCGCTGATGAATTACCTGTTAAAGATATCAGAGAGCGGCGCGCTGCACGTGAAGGATGAGACCAACGCGGCGCTATAGGGCCCCGGCTGCATGTGTGTTTCCCCCACCGCCACCCCAGGGGAAATTTGTCTTTTTATCAACTGTCCGGAGAAGTCACAGCACATCCGAGCAGAATAAATCAAAGAGAATTAGCTGGCTGTGTTCCCTTATCTCTGATGTGCCTGTTTTTCTGCACAGATCACCTGCAGATGTGTGTGCTGATGTGACGGTAGAGGTGGTTCGCTGAAAGGCCCAGACTGGACCGAAACGGGAACAAAAACACACACAGTCACTTCCCAGCTGCTGAATTAGCTCAGACCAGTGTGTGTGTGGGTGTGTGTGATAATCCTGGTTGCATAGCCAGAGATTGGTGAACACCTTGATGTTTGTCGGGGAAGCCGCGACGGTGCTGGTTTTGAACAGAGGTCACAGGACGTCTCTTTACCCTTGGCCCGTCTGGGACAGCTATCATTACAGGCCCAGCGCCTCTCCAGATAAGAGCACCCAGGACTTCACAGGCCCAGCAACCCGCTGTGATAGCTCATGCTTAAAGGATAATACTTTTTACGCATTAATCAGATGGCTCTTTGACCACGGAGTACCGCACAGCCCAGATGAAATTGAAAAGCAAGGTTGGCGTCCTGATAATCTCCGACACAAACATCAGTAAAATGCAGCCACTGGTCGGACTGAAAGGCTTCAGAGGAACTGATTGCAGCAGGTTTAAAAACTCACGATGGAAAGAGTCAGAGATGCTGAGAGTCTGGCTAATTTCTCTCTTCAGCTCAGTGTTTCTGGTTCTTCGCACCATCTGGACTCTTGGCGAATGTAAACACCGTGTTGTGGGAGACGGAACATAAAGCGCTTTTACTTTCTAAATCTGGTGGTATGCAATTAATTTTTGCAGCGCTGGCACCAGTGAGTAACCACATAACAAAACGCTGGCAAAGCATCAGATGATGTAGAAAGTATTGTCTTCCAGCAGATCACGGATTCTATTTTTATGACGGGGAACACGGCGGCTTCAAAACGAGGTGATCAGACGTTCGTTAGAGGCTGAAAAAAAAACACAGCGAATGATCAGTTCTTTGACCTGAAGCATGTCGTAGAGTCTGCCATGTTTGATTTCTGTGTGTGTGTGTCAGTGTGTTTGTGTGTGTGTGTGTGTGTGTGTGTGTGTGTGTGTGTGTGTGTTTTCTTTTTTTTTCTCCCTCTTCTGGCCTCATGGGCGAAAAATTGCCTTTTTCCTTGCTGTGAAAGCAGCCACTCACTCGTGTTAATTTCTGTGTTTCTTTCCATCAATCACCCTCCTCCCTCCCCAAATGGGTTTTCATGTTTATGCCCATTTGTGGGGCTGCTTCTATCCTCCTCTCATTCTTCCTTTGTGTTTATGTCTATGAATTTTGAGAAAAACATGTCGAGGAGCTCCCCTTGGTGATGGCAGCAATTTGGCTTTCATATACTCCTATCCTCCAGACTCTGCTTAGTGCTGCCGTTCGGGGTGTATATATATGTGTGTGTGTTTGTTCTGCAATAATACTTTTGTTTTGAGCTACAATTTGGGAAAGACTTTGCCAAGGTGGAAGGGAGCGTCGGGGTGAGAAGCTAAACTAGAAGTGATGTTTTTAGGTAATGTTGATTATTCAGCTCCCCGTGCGGGAGGTGAGACGGGGAGGAGGTCGTATTTCTTACCTCCAAACTGACAGCTCGTCAAAAGGCTGAGCGGTAATTGAAAAGCATGGGAAGAGTGGATAATGATCGTTTATTTGTGTGAAATTCAAACGAGGGGTTGAGAAAAAGCCGGACTTGTCGGTTCAGAGGCTTATCTAGCTTTGGTTGGCTGAGTAATTAAATCAGAGGAGCGAGTGAAGTTCTCCTCAGCTCAGCGCCTCGTCTTGTTTCCTCTTTAATCAGGTGGCTATTAAACCTCTGATTGCACTCCCCATCTTCTGACTTCAGCTCGCCTATTAAACACAGACTGGAAGCGTTTTTGGTTTGTGTGTCTGGATGCGAGTGCGTCTGGATGCACATTGTGAGGATATGTAAGAATAGAGAGCGTGATTTAGATCACAAGTGGGAGAAGAATAAAGACAGTACGATATAAATTACAAGAGAGACAGAAGACACCCAGACGCTGCTGCTGCTGCTGCTGTTGTTTCACCACCTGCAGCACGTTATTGTTGACTAGATGATGAATGCTTCTTTCCACAACTATAAATCCATTCAGCGCTGACACGCTGGATGTCTGTGACCTTAACTCGCACACATTAAGGCAGCAGCATGCAGAATAAGCGAGCTCCTACAAATCCTCACCCACTCGTGGACATTTACAGAAATAGTTTATATTCCTCTGCTATCAAACGTTCAGCAGCGGCTCTTCTTCCTTGAAGTGACATCCTGTACGACCTCTTCCAAGGTCATCTGATTCCTCCTCTGCGCTCCGTAGAGATCCTCCAGATCGGATTAATGCCGCGTTCAGACGGCGACCACCGGCCAGCTGCCTGCATACATCCATTCATATGTGGCCGGCACAGACAAGGTTGTTCTGCAGAGAGTCGACCTCTGGGTTGGAAAACCTGCTGCTTTAGGAGCGCTGTGTGCGTCCAGCTTTCTGCTTTAATCAGTTAACAAGAAAACGTATTTTTGTTTATCTTGACTATCTGAGAAACAGTCGGATCATAAAGACTATTTTCACCGTTTTTCACTTTGAGGCACATCATCAGAAACTCATTTGCAATTTTTTTTCAGCTTTATGTAACCAGGAGCGTGCTCAGAGTGGCGCTCATAGCGAGAGGACCTTGTTTAGCAAAGACTTTGGTATAAAGCGTCCGCTTGCAGCAGAAAACTTGATTTTAGAGTCTTATTGCATGTGTGTTTTTATCTGTGAAGATCCTCAGTCCTCCAGCTCATGGTTGTTCTCGTAGATCAGGGGTGTCAAACTCTGGCCCGCGGGCCAAATTTGGCCCTCTTTGTAATTATATTTGGCCCGCGAGACAATACCAAATGACTGCTAGAGCTGCGCATTCACCGCTAATACTACAAATCCCATAATGCCCTGTTGTTGTTTTGGCACGTCAATCAGGACAGGACCCAGAAACTCCCTCTCCTCTGTGACTGTAGGCACAGCGACTTCACACTACAACTGTGCCATTGATGTGTTTTTTTATTTATAATTTGATTTTGCATGTCTCCACTATTAACTTATATATAATGTATGGTAATAAGCGTTGCTTGTTCCATATTCAATGTTAAAGCAAAATTTGTTTCGGTCCATATAAAAGGTTCATTTGTTCAATGTTGGCCCGCGACTTTGTTCAGGTTTTAAATTTTGGCCCACTGTGTTTTTGAGATTGACACCCCTGTCATAGATTAATGGTAGCAGCTGGACCTGCTTGAGTTCTTTGAAGACGTTCCACCTTCATCCAAGAGGCTCCATCAGCTCTGATTGACTAGTTGGGAGTTCCACATACTGACATCCTTAAAGAGCCATTAACACCTGAGTTTTGTGTGTTTTTCTGCAGCCCCCGTCATCCTCAACGAGCTGAACTGGACCCAGGCGCTGGAGAGGGTCTTCATTGAGAACCGTCGGGAGGACAGCTCTCTGCGCTGGCAGGTGTTTGGCAGTGCCACAGGAGTGACTCGGTACTACCCAGGTAGGCGGCGGGGAGCCCAGTCGACAGTCTGCCTTATAACTCACGGCTAGATAAAGTCTAAATTGACCCCAGGGATCCTCAGCTGCAGAACATTGGCAATCTCTTATCAGATGGCTGTACTGGTAACTCGATAGACAGAATGAAATTATGATTACTTTGATCTAATCTGATCTGAAATATCCTACAGTGCACCGCGCGGCCTCTAACTTATTTTCTTGCTCTGCAGCCACTCCGTGGAGGGCGCCCAACAAGATTGACTTGTACGACGTCCGCAGAAGGCCGTGGTAAGTGCTGCCTCCGTAGTGACACAGGGTCGTTTTAGTTCTTTGTTCTGCCCGCTGTTAATACCCACCACCCACCGCTTTATGAACAATATAAAGGGAACGGCCATTATTCCTATAATTTTTGAGCATGGCAGTCCTTTTCAGTGGCATTTACTTGGGAAACGGGCACATTATCTGCCTTCAGGAATATAAACGGTGATGGAAGAAGGGACGCCACTGTGGTCCTTTAACACTTTTTGTTTTAAAGATTTTTTCTGTATTTTTGAAATTCACAAACATTTCAATAAAATTACAAAAAATAACCCTGTAACTGTGAATACCTCTAAAATTGACATTTTTAACAAAATAGTTTGATACAAAAATATTTGCAAATTTATCATAATTTCATGAATATATATATATTTTTTTATTGAGTAGAAAACTGTTAAATTCAAGTTCAAAACTGTAACTATACTAACATATAATACTAACGATATTTGTCAAATTAGACAAAAATAGTGACAAATAGCCATAAAAAGAGTAATGGTTGTATAATTTTACATATATTTGTTGGTTATCTACCTACCTGCCTATCTACCCATCCACCCATCCATCCACCCATACCTCCATACCTACCTACCTACCTATCTGTCCGTCCGGCTGTCCATCCATCCATCCATCCATCCATTCGTCCATCCATGCCTCCATACCTACCTCCATACATACCTACCTACCCATCCACCCATCCATCCATCCATCCATCCATCCATCCATCCATCCATTTTTTTGTTGTTGCAAATGTAAATATTCTTTATTAAACTCTAAAAATCCCAGAAATATACGTATATCTCATGTAAAATTAGGGCTAGAAAGTATATTTTTACTTGAAATCTTAACATTTCTGTTATTTTTTTGGTTATTTTGCTGTATTTTTTTGGTGCCTCAGCTTCCAGAACTTCACTGTTTTTTACAGTTTCTCTTTTACAATTTGGATGTCTTTCTATTTTCATTTAAATTACATTCAGAAAACTAAGCTCCGGCAAACTTTCGGCGAGAAGTGAGATCAAAGCGTGGAGTTTAAGAAACGTAGTCGGTGATTTAAGATCTCCACACTTGTATAAAACTCGACTTATAAACAGGTTTTGCTCTTTCAGATTCTAATTTCTGTGTCATAATAGAGGCAGCAGCCTGTGGCCATTCACTGCATATTCCTTTTACTGTTACACTGAAAATAATTTGAGGTCATTTTTCTCAGTGAAAAGGTATAACCTGCTGCATGTCTGCACATTAGAGGGCTTTGTGGATAAAGCCAGTGTACAAAAGAAAGGCTTTTACTCATAAATCCTGCCAGTATTAGGATTTCTCTGCAGTGGTTTCTCTTCTACAGACCGTCTGTGCTGCTTCCGGCCCGGAGCTACAGAACAAAAAAAAAGAAAGAATATTGTTTAATGAAATGAGATCAAAACGTTTCCTGAAATCTCAATAAGAATAAAACACAATGCGCCGTCTTACCAAACAGGCTGGAGGCTGATGCTGAGCTCAGAGTGCCCACCTTTGGCTCTGCAGCAGCTGATACCTGTAACACAGCGGCTGGATGGACAGAACGAGGCTGTGGCGACCCGCCCACCCCGGCTTCCTGTCCACCCTTTGACTTGCAGCCTACCTGCCGCTGTCACATCGGCTTTGCGGCTGCCCGGCCTGTTGCCTGGTTACAGGTCGAAGCGAGCTGGACGTAATCATGACAGCAATGTTGATTGGACCTGACCCCGTTTTCCGCCTCTGTCTTCGTCCGGCTCCACCTGAGTGGCTGTTTGAGGTCAGGCTGCTTGATGGAGTCGGCGAGCTCGGACCAAACAAACACTTCAGTTGTGTTCAAGTTCTGCGTGAAGCTCAAGATCTCAGATATGTTGAAGCTTAACGGAGTAATTATGAGAACTGATGCATGTGAAAGCTTTAAGGTCTAGTCAAGGTTTAATTATTGATCTACGGAGCNAGTCAAGGTTTAATTATTGATCTACGGAGCACTGCCGTCCTCACCCCAAAGAAAACAGAGTGAAAACTAGAGATGCACGATATGCACGATGTCAGGCCGATACTGATATCCGATTTTAAGATTTCTGATATCGCCGATAACTGATATTATCGATATTCAATCTTTGTTCACACCGAAAAATGAGTGTAAATAAGCACTGTGAGAAAACTATTCAAAATAATAATAATAATAACAATAATAATTTTATTTGTGTAGCGCTTTTCAAAAACTCAGAGACGCTTTACAGGATAAAAGAACAATAAAAACAACTAATACAGAAGTAAGCAGATAAAAACAAGACAAGACATCAAGATGAAGGTTTAAGTGAGACAAGCAGAGCGAAACAGGCGAGTTTTTAGTTTGGATTTGAACATTACCGGGTCTGGATGTGTTGTGGGAGAGAGTTCCAGAGGGTGGCGACAGAGAAGACCTGATCCCCCCGCCAGGGTCGGTGCTTGGTCCTGGGAACGATCAGGAGGTTGGCAGGTAGGAGGGTACATGGAGGGGTGTAGAAGTGGAGTATATCTTTGAGGTAAGAGAGGGAATGGTTATGGAGTGCTTTAGGAAGTATGGGATGGGAAGGTTTTGAAGGATGGGTGATGTGTGTGAGGAGGCAGGCGGCAGAGTTTTGGATGTGCTGTAGTCTATGGAGGATGTTGGTGGTGGAACCAAAGAGGATGCTGTTACAGTCGTCAATGCATGATGTAATGAAGGCGTGACTGAGGGAGAAGGGCGGAGGCGGGCGATGTGTTTTACATCATGGAGGGCTGTTTTTGTGACAGAATTAATGTGTTGGCTGAAGGTGAGTTTGGTGTCAAATGACGCCGAGGTTTCGTGACGTGCAGGAGTTACCCAATGAAAGATGGAAGTGTTTAACTGTAGAGGCGAGGGAATCGGGACCAACGATGGCCAAATTAGACCTCACAGTCTTCTTTATTACAAAAGTAAAACATATTTAAGTCCAGGACCATTTAAGTAAAAACATCTGTGAATTAGCAGCAGCATTAAACGTAGAGACGAAGGCATTGATGTTAGACAATCATCGGCTAAATTTGTTCACTGGACCGATACCGATGATGTGGTCAACGATATATCAGCATCCCTACTAAAAAGAATAAAGCTCTAGCTCAAATCTACATAATCCTATCTTCCATAGCACCAAACAGTAAAATAATAAGAAACACAAGAACAGAATACGTTCAAAAGTTTCCTACAGTCTTCGTTGTGAGACTTAAAAACCATTTCCTGTGAATTCCAGTGTACAGGGTCTGACGTGCCACTAAGTGAATGCAGATTCTGTGTATTTAGGTTCATTTAATGACAAAATTAAAAGCCATCGCTTCAGTTTCTACACGACCACGAGACTAGCAAGGTGTTCTCTGACAATTTAATTAAGCTAAGGCCAGATTAGAATCTCCCCGGTGCTGCGCTGTCGCATTAGGCAGCAGCACAAACATGTAAAACGCCGGAAAACACGAGGCGGAGTGCAGTAGGACGAGCTAAAACAGCGCTCCTGTCTCCGACGTGTCAGCGCGGTACATCCGAGTTTAATTCTCTTACACATGTTGGGACTGGGGGAGCGTTCCCGGAGACGAGAGGAACAAGCGATGAGGAAGATGAGGGAGGCTGCTGAGCGGCGTGACAAGGTTAGACAGAGGCAGAGGTGTGTTTTTTGCACAGAGGAACACCTTGTCACCCCCCTGGTCCTCCATGTTTGTCACTGTCATTTCTGTTGAGCTTTTCCTCGCGCTGGAGCCGCAGACATCCCTGCAGCCTGTTGCTTAGCAACTTGTGCCCAGCCGCGCTGAGTGGCGGGGCCGTGGCAGGGAGTGTCATGATATGTCAGGTCAGACTCGTGTGATTATAGTCTAACATGCTGTCTCCTCGGCTGACATTCACTGGAGAGGTCGGCCAATCACGCACTCTACAAAAACAGTCTGCTGGGGTTAGGTAAGCCCGTCATGTGTGCTTATGTGACAGCGGCAGATAGCAGCATCCGTCACGGGGACAGTAGCACAAATAACAACACGAACACTTCCACAGGATACAGTTTATGCATCCAGGTGGCGTTAGAGGGAAATCTGAGTCCTCACGTCTTGTGTTTGGTTATATAATGTGGAAATGTGCTGCACATTATTTCTAAAAGCAACTATTTTAAGATCCGATGCCTGAGATGTACGTGTCTGTGTGTGCAGAGACGCTGTCGGGTTTAGTGTTGAAGCACTTTAAGGTCCGGTTTAGTTCGTCCATGTTGCTGTTCCACCATGTGACCACATGTCAGATGTATTCATCACCTTCCATTAAAGAAAAGGCAAAACTCACACTCAAATAACTAGAAACTGAAAAAAGTAATAATAAATAAAAATTTGCTAAATTATAATTTAGTGAAATAAGATGTTGCTTTTGAATTGTGGTGGGAAGGAATAATTTTAAAAAACAAAAAATGGACTAACGAGAGCACTTTGCTGATGAGCAGTGGTCCAGAATACCTGTCAACAGGTGCACAAGTCTGACTGAGAGTTACAGAAACACCTGATGGCAGTGATTGGCTCAGAGGGTTGTTCAACTAGATAGTAGTCTACGGGTCCCATCATGGTTGTATTTTTAGTTATTTATTTATTCATTTTTAATATTTCTGTTGAACCACAATTCAAAAGCAACGTCATGATTTTCATTAAATTTTTATTTATTATCACTTTTGTCAGTTTCAGCTTATTCCAGTGACTGAAGCTGTTTTTTTTCCGTCGTTAATGGGAGGCTATGAATACATCTGAGGACGACTGTAGCTGGTTAACTTATCAGCTCAGATGATGCTGAATTGAATAAGGTTCTGCTTTTTTTTTCTTGTTTATATAATTTTTCATTTATGATAGATTTTTTTTCATCTTTCAGGCATCACATAGTCCTGATTGAAGTCTACCTTTTGGACCCTTTATTAGCTGTTAGCACCCGTATTGTTGTTTGGTTTGTATTTGTATTAATCAATGAA